CTGACAGAAGCAGGAGAGACACCTCTGGAGATCAGAAGAGAGAAACTTGCTCTGTCATACTGGGTCAGGCTACAAGGAAGTGGAGAAGAAAATATTTCAAAAAGAATACTACAGGATTGCTGGGAATATGGAAAGTCCCAGGGGCGTGGGTTTGGCTGGACGAGTAAGGAGAGAACGAGGGCATATGGAGTGGAGACCATCACGTTTGCCAAAGCAACCCCATTTAGCAGTGTTCCCCCATGGCTTTTCCCAGAAGCTAAAATAGATATGAGTATTGTAGAAAGGAAAAAAGAGTGGCAAATAAATGAAGTGGGAATTAAAACAAGTATGTACCTGAACGAAAAGTACTACAATTACCTACAAATGTATACAGATGGTTCTGTAAAAACAAGGAAGAGTGTTTTGCAGTTGGTATATACATCCCAGACTTTAAAATATCGATTTCAAAAAGAGCGTCTGATCAATTATCAGTGTACACAGCAGAAATGTTTGCTGTAATAATAGGATTACAGTGGGTTGAAGAGGTCAGACCAGATAGGGTGGTGATATGCACAGATTCATAGTCCATATTAAAAAGTATACAATCAACAACAACTGTCTGAGAAGACATTCTCATAGAACTTAACCACAGCCTGTTAAGACTTCACAGAGGCGGTAGATCTGCAGTTCTGCTGGGTGCCTGCACATGAGGGGGTGAAAGGGAACGAGTGTGCTGATAAATGAGCAAAAAGTGCACTAAGGAAATAACATTACCAGTTCAACTTGGAAAAGGAGAAGGAAAAGCAGTAATGAAGAAAAAAGGGATGGAGATCTGGCAGAAAAGGTGGGAGGAAGACCAGAAAGGCAAAGAGTATCACAAAGTACAAAAGACAATTACAATTAATATTTATAAAGAAAGAAACAGATGGGAGGAAATCATGATAGCGAGACTCAGAATAAATCACACGGCTTTCAATGGTACGCTGTATATCATGGGCAAGGCCGGATTAGTACCTCCAGAGGCCCCTGGGCACTGAGCGCTCATGCCCCCCCGCCCAACCAGTGGCGGGCTGGGGGAATGTAATGCGCAGCATCGTATTGTATTTTTTTCCAAATCCGAGCGGCCCTCCGGCCCACGTACAGCACCGGCCCACCGGGAAAACTCCCGGTATTCCCAATGGCCAGTCTGCCCCTGCCCCAAACCCACGTACCAACAAGTAACACCACGCCTACCCAACATGTCAATCTGGTATGTAAAATCGCACACCTATTTGTCAAAAGCAGGGATGCAGCCACATAGTTCAACCAAAGTAGGTCTAGCCTTTTGCCCTTTCAGTCAGAAATCACAAGACAAAGATAAAATGGATAAGATCTCTTAATGCCAAAATATGACTGGCTGGCTGTACAAGTACACAAGGATTTCTATTAGTCACAAACATTGAGAGTTACAAAAGTAAAATATATAGTGAAATTGTGTGGTTGCTCAACTAAGTGATCAGTATATGTGATGGAAGATAGTGTGTGTGTGTGTGTGTGTGTGTGTATATGTGAGAGGGAGAGAGAGTGAGTGTGAGTGTGTGTGTGTGTGTGTGTGTGTGTGTGTGTGTGTGTGTGTGTGTGTGTGAGAGAGAGCGCGAGAGAATGAGTGTGTGTGAGAGGCAGTGGATCTTACCTTTTAGAAGTGTTTCTTCCTTGCCTTTCTCTTTGAAAAGTCTGTGATTAGGTCATCAAAATCCAAGGCTCAAGGCTAACATTGCTCGCTAGCTCAACAACATCCTCCGTGACCACCGCCACCGTTCCTTGTGGTTGCTGACCTATTTCGTAACTTTTTGCTTTTTTGAAAAAGCTATTTATTGTTGGGACATTTTTTAATGCAGCCGCCACTCTCTCTTCTTTTTCTTTCTTTTCGCAGCCCTGCTGGGCGTTTGGCTGCTACCGGCACCATCCATTTGTTCAGCTCACGTGACAAAATGTGACATGAGTGAGGGTGGGGCTGTGATTCGGCTATACACCGCCGCTGCGTAGTAATAAAGTTGAGCGCATACATAGTGAGACCTACAGTACAGAGACGGTTCAGAAAATATATTAATTTCACCCTATAGAAAAGCTGTGTTATTTATGGTGAAGAGTGAGTGTCATTTAAAAGAATGTATGATGAGTGAGGTTGAGCCCGAAAAAGACAAGATAAAAAAAATAATTAAAAAAAATGTGTATCTTGTCACTGAGGGCCCTCTTTGCTCAAGGGCCCCTGGGCACTTGTCCAGGTTGCCCATATGGTTAATCCGGCCTTGATCATAGGGACAAGTGACAGTAACAAGTGTGGGAACTGTGGAGTAAAAGAAGATGTAGAACATATCTTGTTACATTGTGACATCTATAAAGCGGAAAGAGAACAACTAAAGGCTGAAGTTTTAGAGGCAGAGAGGGAATGGAGTGTGGTTGGTGTTTTGGGAACAAAAGGAGAGGGAGTAAGAGCTACCAGAAAGGCACTGTTTGATTTAAAATGATTTAACATTAGGTCAGGAAAGAACATAGATTTTTAATTTTGTTTTATTTATTTTATGTTTTTGTTGATTTATTTTGATTAGATCATAGGTTAAAGAGTGGAATGATATGATGATTCATACTCATGTACGGTAGGTGGCGGTATGCACCTTTTAAGTTGTTTGCAATCCGCCAAAAACGAGAGAAGAAGAAGAAGAAGCAGATGCGCATTGAAAATCGGGCATTCAGATCGGGTAGTCACCCTGGGTCCAGGAGGCGTCTCGTCGCTACGGTTCTCTCTCTGTGTTCCTGAGAAAGTGTGTGTGAGCTCCAGCTCTACTGATCCATCATCTGTGTGTTTGGATAAACCTCCGAATGGACTCTGTGCTCTTTTTTCTGGAGCGTTTACCGCGGACTATAGGAGCTAGCTTAGCATGCTAGCTGGAAACACGTTGGCAACACTAGTCAGATTGAGAGTTTGATGGAGAGAGAAACGGTGTGTTTAACGGAGTTTGCAGGAACAGGTGATCTAGGAAACATGAGTAAAGTCCAAATGCTGCTGTCGTTGAAGAAGCAGCGACTCACTGCTGAAGAGATATTTGCTCTGTTTGAAAAAACGATAGCAGAGTACGAAGAGGAGCTGTCTCGTTTAAAAGAGGAGAACAAGAGACTCCAGAAACTACTGGACGCTGTTTTACAGCCTCAGCTTCGGATACACAGAGCAGGTCTGTTCCCTTTACTCTTAATTAACACTTTAAACCAGGGGTGTCCAAACTACGGCCCGGGGGCCGGTGTTACCGAATAAGATGTGGGCCGAACAACTGGTGATATTCTATAACGTATAGGCAGATGTACCAGGGGCGTGGCCTTTGTCGAATAACCAGGAAATACACATTTCGATCGCTTCTTCTGTCGTTTGCATAAATCTTTTGGTATATTTGGCTGCATAGGAACACTTTGATGCACTTTCAGTACAGTTGAGTAAAGTTAGAACGATATTGGCAGATTCGGATTTCACGGATCAATAACTCATGAACAAAATGTTATTCAGACACAAATGATGTCTCCTATGTACCGTGGTAAGGTTGACAACGAACTACAATCACATGTTGATAATAAAAAAAAGCCAATATGCGCCGTCCTCAAAACTGGACAAATTACATTGGTCTCTATCTGCAGCCGGAAAAGGAATGAGTGCTCAGGGACCGTCTGCAAAGTGCAACTCCGAAAAAAGAGAATACAATAATATTCAATAATATTCACTAGCGTCACTATTATACAGTGGAGTGCTTACTTTGTTACTCTTTTTAAAGCATACATTTTAATATAGCAAAACAATACCTCTGTTGCCGGCTTGGACCCTTTACTTGTGGGGTTGCTGCTGTTCTCCACATCTGTGCTGCTCTGAATATCTTCACCAGTGTTCAGAGTTAACTTTGCTCTTTTTGGAACTGGAAGAATGTCTGGAGTGGTGTAATATTTGGAGCTGGAAGTGCGAGGCTTTGCTCCATCTCTCTTTGCCCAACCTTCCTTCGATTGACTGATGTCTTTTGGTAGCAAAGTTTTGAGGAGTAACTGCTCAGATAAGTGATGTGCCATTATGTGTTCTCTGTAGCTCCCCTGGAGAGAGCCATACATCTTTCTGATGAATGTCGCTGGCCTCAGTCGTCTCTGCTTTTTTAGAATAGAATGTTTGACTATTCCAAACCATCTCTCCACATGGCAGTTTGTGTCCCTTGTTTTACTTTGGCCAAATGTGTCTTCCTCTGTGTCAGTTGCATATCTTTTCAAATTCCCCAACAGCAGCCCACTCCAAAGGGGAAAAATCCCTAGATAGTTGTCAAAAAGGACATCAACAATGCCAGGGCAAAAGTATGGATTTTCATCCTGTGGGGTTTCGACCTCCTCTTTTTCAAGCTCTCCCTGTACCTCCTCCATGACCTTCCTAAACTCATATGTGAAGGGAGATCTGCCAACAATTGTGTGGGCATTTCTTCTTTCTTCATCATCTTCCTCCTGAGTTAAGGGACTGTCTCCTAACTTGTCCCCCTCTTCCATGTCGGGAATCCTGCATTCTTTTATGAAGTCCTTCATGGCTTTCAGATGGATCAGGACAGCATTGGAATTGTGCTTTCCAATCAACACAGTGCACAGTGAGCGGAAGATGTGTAGTGCTGTGGTCATTGAAGTAGCATTTTGCAACCTCGCAAATGCAAATGTTGCAAATTCCTTCAAACCCTTGTCTGCAGTCCTTCTCCCAATTGACTGAGCTACAGCTTTCAGCACGTGTGCAGAGCAAATGTGTAGCACTGTCAACATTTTGATTTCCTTCCATGACTTCAGCTTTGAACAGATAGCGAAAGCCCTGTCCAAGTAACTGACAATGCTCTCTTTGTTAAAAGAAAGGAGAACACTTTGGAGCAGGGCCCAGCTGTAGTCTGTTTCTACCTGATGTACTTTTATGTTAGTGTACTGTGACAGTTTGTGGAGGAACTGCATTAGCCAGAATGTGATTGGTGGAATGGAGTGTTCATTTGTCAGCATTTCACAGACTGGGAGGGGAGGTACTTGCTGACCACCTCCAGGAAGAGTGAGGCAGTAATAAAGCACTCTTTTGGTCTGACCTGGATCTTTGGATGCAACATTACCTGTAGCATCCAGATATAGGGTCAGCGGTGTCTTCTTTCTCAGGTGTTGCACAACTATGTTTACTCCGGTTTCAGAATACATATGTACTCCAAATGGGTCAACTTGAAAATGCTGTATGTACCCAGGCATCCTGCGATCATTTGAGTCACATTCCTTAATGATCATTTGTGTGAGGTACATCTCCATGAAAACATCCTCATGGATTCTTTTACCTCTTCTTACTTCTGAACGTATCACTTTGAGAACATTTTTGTTCAGACTACGGCTTATGTTTCCTGAAATCAGTTCAGCAACAGGTGTTTTTTTAAGTTTACTGTAAAATACTTGACTCACTCCTTTATGCAGGGCTCTTGCAATTCTGCCTCTTCTTCTGTTTGCTGCTGGTCGGAATTTTGTCTCATTTGCTTTGTGTGTCATTTTCCCTCTTTGCAGCACAGATATTTTAACAAGGGTGTCTCCCACTGGCTGATTTTGGATTTTAAAGAAGAATTTGGCCCTGCAGGAAGGGAATGTACAAACTGCACAGATGTTTAAGTACGGACTTTTAATTTTCCTGCTGTTGGGAGTTTTTATGTGGTGACTCTTGAAGGCAAGCGTACAACAGGGATTTTTCTCTCGGAAACTCTTGTACAACACGTCGGTCCACGGTTGCCTCAGTTTGTTTGAACCCGTCAAAGGAACAATCTTTTGCCATTTCTTTCTATTTACTGTTATTCCGAACCTTTTAGATACTACTGGCAACTTCCGCCAATGTGTTTTGGTGCCTGTGTTTTTATTGACATCTTGTGCTCCTCTTTGCAAATTCTGTTCTTCAGTTTCTGCCTCATTCTTGTCTATGTCCTCATCTGATAACTGGTCATCTTCAAGTCCACTCTGAGAAGACATCCTTTGTTGTTTGTCTTCTGCCTCATTCTTGTCTATGTCCTCATCTGATAACTGGTCATCTTCAAGTCCACTCTGAGAAGACATCCTTTGTTGTTTGTCTTCTGCCTCATTCTTGTCTATGTCCTCATCTGATAACTGGTCATCTTCAAGTCCACTCTGAGAAGACATCCTTTGTTGTTTGTCTTCTGCCTCATTCTTGTCTATGTCCTCATCTGATACCTTATGCTGAATCATGCTCAGAGGCAAGTCCTTTGAAAGACAGTCTTCAGAACATTCCCCTCCAACATCTCTCTCGTTTTGATTTTCCTCCATTACCTGAACTTCCTTCTGCTCTAATGATTTTTGACGTTTATTGATCAAATCCCTCAATCCTTTTCGATTGTTGGTCCATACAACCCACAGCCAATGACGGTGTTTCTTATCATCATGACCAAAAAGGATTATAGCGAGTTCCGACCAAATATATGAAGAATGTCCTGTATCTCTTTTGGTAATGTGAACACTCTTCAGTCCTCGGACCAATGCTTCCATTCCACCAGCCATTGCCCATAAGTCCTTCCTCTGGGCCCTCTTTCCTTTTTTAACTCTTCCCATTATTTTCAAACTTCCTCTAACCTAAAGGAGGAAAGGCAAAGCGAAATAGTTTTTCTCAATATAAAAAGATAAAAAGTAAACTTTTTAGAAGCACATATAATAAAAAACTGTGTTCAAATATGTAACACTAAGTTGGGTTTTTGTTTTGGTTTGCAAAAATAGTCATTTGTCATTTTAAAATGTGTAATATTACATCACAGGAACAAATAACATTTGTTTGTAGTTTTAATTCAGTAACATTTCAGTTGATCAAATACTAACTAACTTCAGCTAGGTTAATACAAATAAAAAAACATAATTTTTTTAATTTAATCTGAATGATGGCTTGTTAAAGTATAAGAAACATGTTTTGGTTAAACTCAGGATATTATGTTTAAATAATTCCACCCTGTTACTGTGAAAAATAGTAACAGGGTAGACGGTAACAAGGTGGACATTTCATGCTAAACTTGGCTATTGCTACATGTGTGATGATAATCAAGCTAGCACTTGTGACAACAGAGAAAGATATTTGATAGATATATTCACATTTTTTTCTAAATGTAAACATTTTGATCAGTTTCCACACAAAATGAGCATAACAGGGTGGACATGTTATGCTTTACCGCAATAGTTAAGTTCGTTAAAAACATTAAAAAAATCGTTGAAGGAAGAGTGCATACTTACTCTGCTTCTTGAAGATGATTTTCCCACTCAAAATGTATCCTTCTTCTTGAGTCATACAAATAGTAGAATAGTAAAGGGCCGTGTCCAGAGGGATTCAAATCAGAGTAACAGGGGGGACATTAAAACAGGAGACACACACTTTAAAAAAAAATTAAATCAAGAAAATTGAATTAACAATTTAAATTTGGTGAGGAATATTAATAAAAGGGTTATACAATAGTGACAAAAATGTAGAATTTGATTTCTTTGTTTATATCTGTTAGAGAAGTTGAGCAAACATGATTTGGGACACAACAATTTGGCCTACTTGTGCTAAAATCAGACTAATTATTTAGCATTTTGAATATCCTGGGTAAATAACATTGATGTTTTATAGTAGAGGGTAATACAAATGTAAAACCAAGCTTTTAAAAATAAGCATTTGACCTTTTAAATGCAAAATATATGATATAATGTGTTGGGGACCTAACCACCAGGAGACTATTGATGTGTGTAGTGAGTGTGGGAGACATATACTGTATAATAGTGACGCTATTGAAGATTATACCATATTTATTGAAGATTTGACACTATAAATATTCACCAAAATTATTCAAAAGCACATTCTTCCAAACTCTCTGCTGTAGTCCAACCACCAGGAGACTATTGATGTGTGTAGTGAGTTTGGGAGACATATACTGTATAATAGTGACGCTATTGAAGATTATACCATATTTATTGAAGATTTGACACTATAAATATTCACCAAAATTATTCAAAAGCACATTCTTCCAAACTCTCTTCTGTAGTCCAACCACCGGGAGACTATTGATGTGTGTAGTGAGTTTGGGAGACATATACTGTATAATAGTGACGCTATTGAAGATTATACCATATTTATGGAAGATTTGACACTATAAATATTCACCAAAATTATTCAAAAGCACATTCTTCCAAACTCTCTTCTGTAGTCCAACCACCGGGAGACTATTGATGTGTGTAGTGAGTTTGGGAGACATATACTGTATAATAGTGACGCTATTGAAGATTATACCATATTTATGGAAGATTTGACACTATAAATATTCACCAAAATTATTCAAAAGCACATTCTTCCAAACTCTCTTCTGTAGTCCAACCACCAGGAGACTATTGATGTGTGTAGTGAGTTTGGGAGACATATACTGTATAATAGTGACGCTATTGAAGATTATACCATATTTATTGAAGATTTTACACTATAAGTATTCACCAAAATTATTCAAAAGCACATTCTTCCAAACTCTCTGCTGTAGTCCAACCACCAGGAGACTATTGATGTGTGTAGTGAGTTTGGGAGACATATACTGTATAATAGTGACGCTATTGAAGATTATACCATATTTATTGAAGAATTTACACCATAAATATTCACCAAAATTATTCAAAAGCACATTCTTCCAAACTCTTTGCTGTAGTCTGACCACCAGGAGACTATTGATGTGTGTAGTGAGTTTGGGAGACATATACTGTATAATAGTGACGCTATTGAAGATTATACCATATTTATTGAAGAATTTACACCATAAATATTCACCAAAATTATTCAAAAGCACATTCTTCCAAACTCTTTGCTGTAGTCCAACCACCAGGAGACTATTGATGTGTGTAGTGAGTTTGGGAGACATATACTGTATAATAGTGACGCTATTGAAGATTATACCATATTTATGGAAGATTTGACACTATAAATATTCACCAAAATTATTCAAAAGCACATTCTTCCAAACTCTTTGCTGTAGTCCAACCACCAGGAGACTATTGATGTGTGTAGTGAGTTTGGGAGACATATACTGTATAATAGTGACGCTATTGAAGATTATACCATATTTATTGAAGATTTGACACTATAAATATTCACCAAAATTATTCAAATTATTCCAAAGCACATTCTTTCAAACTCTCTGCTGTAGTCCAACCACCAGGAGACTATTGATGTGTGTAGTGAGTTTGGTAGAAATATACTGTATAATAGTGACGTTATTGAATATTATTGTATTTTCTTTTTTCGGAGTTGCACTTTGCAGACGGTCCCTGAGCACTTGTTTCATCTCCGGCTGCTGAAAGAGACCAATTTAATGTGTCCAGCTCGGAGGACGGCGCATATTGTTTTTTTTTATCAACATATGATTGTAGTTCGTTGTCAACCTTACCACGGTACATAGGAGACATCATTTGTGTGTGAATAACGTTTTGTTCATGAGTTATTGATCCGTGAAATCCGAATCTGCCAATATCGTTCTAACTTTACTCAACTTTTCAGTACCAGTGTGTGAGGTTGTGGTTGCGATGCCGATATGCGGACGCGTACAGCGAGGACTACAAAAAGAAATATTAAACATGATCGCTGGTTGATAACCACAGAACTCGTATCACAGTTTAATCTTTAATCACTGTTTACCACA